ATGTCCTGGCCCTAAGCGAAACAAAGCTGAAGGGGGTAGGGGAATTTCGGTGGGGGGAAATAAATGGGATTAAATCTGGAGTATCTGAGAGAGTTAGAGCTAAAGAAGGGGTAGCAGTAGTGTTGAAGGATCAATTATGTAAGGAGAAAAGAGAATATGAATGTGTAAATTCAAGAATTATGTGGATTAAAGTAAAGGTTGGATGCGAAAAGTGGGTCATAATAAGCGTGTATGCACCTGGAGAAGAGAGGAATGTAGAGGAGAGAGAGATATTTTGGGAGATGTTAAGTGAATATATAGGAGCCTTTGAACCAAGTGAGAGAGTAATTGTGGTAGGGGACCTGAATGCTAAAGCAGGAGAAACTTTTAGAGAGGGTGTGGTAGGTAAGTTTGGGGTGCCAGGTGTAAATGATAATGGGAACCCTTTGATTGAACTTTGTATAGAAAGGGGTTTAGTTATAGGTAATACATATTTTAAGAATAAGAGAATAAATAAGTATACAAGATATGATGTAGGGCGAAATGACAGTAGTTTGTTGGATTATGTATTGGTAGATAAAAGACTGTTGAGTAGACTTCAGGATGTACATGTTTATAGAGGGGCCACAGATATATCAGATCACTTTCTAGTTGTAGCTACACTGAGAGTAAAAGGTAGATGGGATACAAGGAGAATAGAAGCAACAGGGAAGAGAGAGGTGAAGGTTTATAAACTAAAAGAGGAGGCAGTTAGGCTAAGATATAAATAGCTATTGGAGGATAGATGGGCAATGGGGTCGAAGAGGTATGGGGTGTTCAGCAGAAGTTTGTGGTTACAGGAAAGTGGGTGCGGGAGGGAAGAGGAGCGATTGGTGGAATGATGATGTAAAGAGAGAAGTAAGGGAGAAGAAGTTAGCATATGAGAAGTTTTTACAAAGTAGAAGTGATGCAAGGAGGGAAGAGTATATGGAGAAAAAGAGAGAGGTTAAGAGAGTGGTGAAGCAATGTAAAAAGAGAGCAAATGAGAGAGTGGGTGAGATGTTATCAACAAATTTTGTTGGAAATAAGAAAAAGTTTTGGAGTGAGATTAACAAGTTAAGGAAGCCTAGAGAACAAATGGAGTTGTCAGTTAAAAATAGGAGAGGAGAGTTATTAAATGGAGAGTTAGAGGTATTGGAAGATGGAGGGAATATTTTGAGGAATTGTTAAATGTTGATGAAGATAAGGAAGCTGTGATTTCATGTATAGGGCAAGGAGGAATAACATCTTGTAAGACTGGGGAAGAGTCAGTTGTGAGTGTGGGGGAAGTTCGTGGGGCAGTAGGTAAAATGAAAGGGGGTAAGGCAGCCGGGATTGATGGGATAAAGACAGAAATGTTGAAAAGCAGGTGGGGAATATAGTTTTGGAGTGGTTGGTGCAATTATTTAATAAATGTATGGAAGAGGGTAAGGTACCTAGGGATTGGCAGAGAGCATGCATAGTTCCTTTGTATAAAGGCAAAGGGGACAAAAGAGAGTGCAAAAATTATAGGGGGATAAGTCTGTTGAGTATACCTGGTAAAGTGTATGGTAGAGTTATTATTGAAAGAATTAAGAGTAAGACGGAGAATAGGATAGCAGATGAACAAAGAGGCTTTAGGAAAGGTAAGGGGTGTGTGGACCAGGTGTTTACAGTGAAACATATAAGTGAACAGTATTTAGATAAGGCTAAAGAGGTCTTTGTGGCATTTATGGATTTGGAAAAGGCGTATGACAGAGTGGATAGGGGATGCAATGTGGCAGATGTTGCAGGTGTATGGTATAGGAGGTAGGTTACTGAAAGCAGTGAAGAGTATTTACGAGGATAGTGAGGCTCAAGTTAGAGTATGTAGGAAAGAGGGAAATTATTTCCCAGTAAAAGTAAGCCTTAGACAAGGATGTGTGATGTCACCGTGGTTGTTTAATATATTTATAGATGGGGTTGTAAGAGAAGTAAATGCGAGGGTCTTGGCAAGAGGCGTGGGGTTAAAAGATACAGAATCACACATAAAGTGGGAGTTGTCACAGTTGCTCTTTGCTGATGACACTGTGCTCTTGGGAGATTCTGAAGAGAAGTTGCAGAGATTGGTGGATGAATTTGGTAGGGTATGCAAAGAAGAAAATTAAAGGTGAATACAGGAAAGAGTAAGGTTATGAGGATAACAAAAAGATTAGGTGATGAAAGATTGGATATCAGATTGGAAGGAGAGAGTATGGAGGAGGTGAATGTATTCAGATATTTGGGAGTGGACGTGTCAGCGGATGGGTCTATGAAAGATGAGGTGAATCATAGAATTGATGAGAGGAAAAGAGTGAGTGGTGCACTTAGGAGTCTGTGGAGACAAAGAACTTTGTCCTTGGAGGCAAAGAGGGGAATGTATGAGAGTATAGTTTTACCAACGCTCTTATATGGGTGTGAAGCATGGGTGATGAATGTTGCAGCGAGGAGAAGGCTGGAGGCAGTGGAGATGTCATATCTGAGGGCAATGTGTGGTGTGAATATAAATGCAGAGAATTCGTAGTTTGGAAGTTAGGAGGAGGTGCGGGATTACCGAAAACTGTTGTCCAGAGGGCTGAGGAAGGGTTGTTGAGGTGGTTCGGACATGTACAGAGAATGGAGCGAAACAGAATGACTTCAAGAGTGTATCAGTCTGTAGTGGAAGGAAGGCGAGGTGGGGGTCGGCCTAGGAAAGGTTTTGGAGGGAGGGGCTAAAGGAGGTTTTGTGTGCGAGGGCTTGGGCTTCCACAGGCATGCGTGAGCTTGTTTGATTGGAGTGAATGGAGACAAATGGTTTTTAATACTTGACGTGCTGTTGGAGTGTGAGCAAAGTAACATTTATGAAGGGTTCAGGGAAACCGGCAGGCCGGACTTGAGTCCTGGAATGGGAAGTACAGTGCCTGCACTCTGAAGGAAGGGTGTTAATGTTGCAGTTTAAAAACTGTAGTGTAAAGCACCCTTCTGGCAAGACAGTGATGGAGTGAATGATGGTGAAAGTTTTTCTTTTTCGGGCCACCCTGCCCTGGTGGGAATCGGCCAGTGGTGATAAAAAAAATAATAATATATATATATATACATACATACATACATATATATATATATATATATATATATATATATATATATATAATATATATATATATATATATATATATATATATATATATATATATACACTCTCAGTGGCCACTATACTGGTACACCCTGAATGAACATTAAAATGGTATAAAATACCGACAGATTGTTCATTCTGTCAGACACTGCAACACAAGGGTATCTTGGTACAGACCATCAACTTCGACCTCTACTAGTGAGAACGGCTGAGTTTGAGAGGGACCTGCCCTCCCAAAGCAACCTACGTCTCACCTCCTGGCACTATATAAAGGCTCCATCCTGTCACTTCAACTTCATATTGTTTCAGACAACGGAACAATGCTCTTCTCCAGACTGAGGGACTGACCACCTCAAAACTTTAAGGGTGATGGACTGATTACATCGTCTTCAAGTATCTTCTGCTTCTATCAACTTTTCTGTACTCGACTGAAGAAGCCTACTGTGTAGGCGAAACGTTTCGAAATAAAGGTACCTAACTGTTGCATATGGGTACACCCTGTTGTGGGAGTCCACCCTTTTTTTTTTTTTCCTCAGAATAGTCTAACTTCTTCATGGCATAAATTCAACAAGGTGCTGGAAACATTCCTTAGAGATCCTGGTCCATGTTGACATGATAGCATCACGCATTTGCTGCAAATTTGTCGGATGTACATTCATACCCCACATTCATGTTTAAGTTAAATTTTGACCCTTTCATCGGCATGTCGAATTAGAAATCGCCATCTGTCAGACCAAGAAACGTTTTTCAACTGTCCACTTTTAGTTAACCTGTGCCCACTGTAGCCTGAGTTTCGTGTTCTTAGCTGACAGGAGTAGAACCCAGTGTGGTCTTCTCCTGCTGTAGCCCAATGACTTTAAGGTTTGCTATGTTGTGTGTTCAGTAATGCTCTTGTGTAAACCACTGCAGTAACCCGTGGTTGAGTTACTGTCGCCTTCCTGCCAGCTGGAACCAGCCTGACCATTCTCCTCTGATCTCTCATCAACAAGACGATTTCACCAGCAGAATTGCCACTCTCTGGATGTTTTGTGTTTTTTTAACACCATTTTCTGTAAGCTCTTGAGACCGCTGTGCCTGAAAATCAGACATAAGTTTCAGAGATACTCAAACCACCCCGTATGTCTGGCACCAATAATTATTCCCCACGGTCTACGTCACTTTAATCACAATTCTTCTTCATTCTGATGTTTGGTCCGAACAACAAGTAAACCTTCTGACCATGTCTGTATGTTTTTAGGCATAGAGGTGCTGCTATTTGATTGACTGAACAAGTATACAGGTATACCTTGTATTTATATATATTTTATTATATATATTATATATATATATATATATATATATATATATATATATATATATTAATTATATATATATATATATATATATATATATATATATATATCTCCTAGGTAGTAAGTTGGTAGACAGCAACCACCCAGGGAGGTACTACCGTCCTGCCAAGTGAGTGTAAAACGGAAGACTGTAATTGTTTTACACTTAGGTCACACTAGACATGAATGTACAAGCATGTATATATACACACCCCTCTGGGTTTTCTTCTATTTTCTTACTAGTTCTTGTTCTTGTTTATTTCGTTTTATCTCCATGGGGAAGTGGAACAGAATTTCTTCTTCCGTCAGTCATGCTGTCGTAAGAAGCGACTAAAATGCCGGGAGCAAAGGGCTAGTAACCCCTTCTCCTGTATACATTACTAAATATATAGAGAGAAATTTTCGTTTTTCTTTTTGGGTCATCCTGCCTCGGTGGGATACGGCCGGTGCGTTGAAACAATATATGATCAACACGTTTGGAAAGCCACGTTTCAAGAATTTGAGTTCTCTAACGTAAGCATAAACCTTCTATGATATCACAAGGCACAGAAAAATACCATTAGTAAAGTCAATATTTTAATGCCCATACCTGCCTCAACGTGCCCCCATACCACATGTGGACGCTGGGCATATCAAGGCAGGATTCACCTGACATACCTTTGATCCCTTTCCCCACACCTGCCACACATGTGCTATAAAACAGGGGTGCTAACGTAAAGACACCCACACCTGAGTTAAAGAGCACGTGTGGGGGAGGGGCAGAAACCTCCAGACCTGAGCTACAAATAGTAGTGTCAAGCAGGTGTGGAGAGGACCACATATTTTTAGCGACCAGCTAACCTTTAATATATTAAATCTATAACAAATAATACTTCAGGTCTTGTACAACAGTTGTTTTAAATCATGACTGAAACGTGAATATAAGAGCAGTACAACAGATGTTTATGTTTACAAACATCTGCATCAACCGAACCTTATTACAGAACTTCCCTTTTATTGGTCATCTTCTGGGACGTAATTTAAAAGATGCTTTCAACTGACTTTTTTTTATAACAACGTAAATAAATGAATCACTCTCTCAATGCCATTTTATGATACATATTTAAAGAAGTTTTATAATGAATATCACCAATCTAAATGGTGATATTCATTATATCGTTAGGTAAGCTGATCCAAATAATTTTTCAGTATCCACGTATAACAATGCCCATCATGACTGTAACATAATTGTACAATAACAATACAATAATATTGTAACGAAATATATAGGTTGCTTAGTGTAACTTCCTCGTCGTAAGGCACCAGGCGTTAACCAATGAAGAATAGTCAAGTTTAGAATAAATATGTTTGATGAATAGTGTGAAGAAGAATTAATATGTGAGTTATGAGTGCACACATGTGAGGTATGGCAGTGTACAAATATAAGAACATGAAAAGTATATATGTGTAAGTGAGTGTAACGTGAGGTATGAGCCTAGGCAAGCTGGTGCCCTCTGACACTATAACAAATAACAAGAACTCAACCCTGATTACACTAAGGATCACAGCATATCACTGTCATCTTATAATGATGACCCCAAGGCACTATGACTTCCAGGTACTCTGACCTCAAGGTACAATGACCTCCAAGTAGTATGACGAGGCACTGTGACCTCAAGACACAAACATAAAGGAATACTTTGGCGTCAGGGTTCCATGGAGGCGCTAATAGCTCGCCTCGCAGAACTACTGCATCACAATTGCAGCTTTACCCTTAGTACCACACGACGTTCTACCTTCCCGCCTTCATCAGTTCTTCTCCATCAGGAAAATGCCGTGTAAGCTGGAAGGGACTCTGGCATCCACCTCTGCGCGGCCAATCTCCTCCATAGTTCGAGCGTCCACCAGTAGCAAGAAGTCTGGAAAGTCTTTGCGAATGTCAGCTACGGAGCACAAGATTACACCGTCGTCCTCTTCGATGGCATCGGGCAAGGGAATGAAGGATGGCTCTGACAAGTACTGGTGTTCATTTCCCCGCCAGGCCCAGCTGCGCCCAGTCTCCACATCCATCTTGCACACCTGCAAATAACGTACACTCGTTAGTGATAACGGAACACTCATCACTTATGGTACACTCGTCACTGCTCGAGGCACACTCGTCATCTGACAAGTTACATACGTCGCTTGTCAAGGTACACTCATTACTGATCAGAGTACACTTGTCATTGATGCAGATTCTTTAGTCATTTGTAAAGGCACATTCGTCACTAATTATAGTCGTCGTTTGTGATGGTACACTCGTCAAGAGTCAGTTATAGACGAAACTAGCCAAAATTCATCTTCACATGTCAAGTTACACTATGCGTAAGTTTACACTTGTTTCTATCAAGGTACACAATACAGGATCATATCACTGTTTATGAGTCAACACACACGACACTATAACAAAGAAGTAAATGTCAGTTTACATGTGATACAAGTCATAGTACATAATGTATACATGTCACTATACATAAGTTACACAGATTACAACATGACGTGCGCAGTGTAACGAGTTACAAGATTAAAGTTGATACAAAAGACACTACGGTATGGCAATGTAGAAACCTTTATTGACATAACGCTACTCTTAGAGACCAAGTTTTGTCAAATCTGTTGGTCTATATAGACTATGGTCCTAAAAAAAAAAAAAACTAGACTTGAAAAATTGTAACTTTGTATCAATAAATCTTTCCATTCTGTCATAGTGTCTTATGAGCTTGTTGGTTTTACAACCCGTTTCCAGGAGGAAAGTCACAATGGTACAAATCATAGTTCCACTGGCCCCCTGACATTTAAACTTTAGGGTAAAAAAGAAACCGGCACAAAAACGTGACGGAAAACTACAAAATAACAAGTGGGGTTTGTTCCCGGGGAGTGAAAAGACTTCATAAAATTAGCATCACGTGGGGTGGCAATTTCACGCTGCCAAATTCACAAATAACCCAAAAAGGGAAATGGAAACTAAAGAGCTTCACGTAGAAAATCGAGCCCCGAAAACCTCTTTCATTAAATGCTCCATTGTTTGGGTAATGGAATTCGAAAAAATTTTTATAACTTTGATTCTATATTGTCAAAGCAGGCTCTGGGTGCCCGTACCGGTTCTTAAAGTAATCCTTGTTCGTGGGCCCACCGGTGCGTAGGAAGCGGTAAGGTTTTGCCGGTGTGTTTCTCTTTGATGGTAGGCATCTCAAAGCCGGGTTCCCCACGTCGCCCCCGTCCTTGATGAAAAACCCGTCTTGGTTTTTACCTTGAGGGCCCGATGCTGGCAGGCCTTGAAAGTGAACCAGTTCCTCGCCCTCCCGCACGCTCTGTGAAGAAAGTAGGGGATGAACTCTGGCGAAGCTAAGGTTATGGTGGAAAGTGTGTGTGGCAAGCTGTTGTGGGTGTGGGGTGTTGCATGAGAAAATATTAGGGTCAGGTTATTATGGTCGTTTATTGTGGTGTAGTATGAGATACAAAGTTCGTGTTTAACAGATACAAAGTTCTGATTCTCTATTAATGGATCTTTCTGGTTCCTGAACTTAAAGGGAAAAAACTCGAAGTGAGAGAAAATTGGTGTTAGTTACAATTTCATTTTAAAACCCGATTATATACACCCTGGTAAAACTTAAACTCTCCCCCACTGCGTCCCCCCCCTTTCCAGACTCTGAAATTGAATTTAAAATTTATTTTTCAAATTCATTTGAAAATATTTGAAAGCAGTGGACAGTTAACTCTTTAACAGCCCCATTTATAAACCTTTCTTAAGTTTAGTGATTTAAAAATTTGGAAATTTGAAATGTGTCAGTGTACGGTGGAGTGCGAAACTCTGGTAAGGCCCCGATTTTCTCCCTCACCACTTCAGGGTTGGTATCTGCCGAGGGCGATGTTCTAATCTAGCGAGTGCCCTTTTTTGTATTATATTAACAGCTAATTATCCATTGAAAAAAATTCAGTGGTAATACCTTGTATAGGAGAAATGTGGGCGTAAAGTTTGATCACATATTTGTGTTGTCAAGTGAAAAAAAACTTTACATCGCTAGATACGGAAAAAATACTCATGTAGTACTAGACAAGACGCACCCATTATTCATTCAAAAAGAAAGACAGGGACAAATACTCACTGAAAATCGCAAGACAATAACCCCCATGCAGGCCCTTGCAAGAAAACCTGTAGATCCCTTGACACATAGGAAAACCCCCACTGTAGGTCGGTAACGATGGGAAAAATGTCCCCTTTTAAGCTGGGGGGGTCTTCGGTGCTGTATCGTTCATTTGACCTTCTTTAGTATAGTTTGTTTTGATTCGGGGTGGAGTATGCCACCACATCCACCACCAGTTGACCGTCAATTCGTAAGCGTTTTACGTGGGGAAAGTGAAAAAGGGTCTTGCTCATGTACTTCGCCTTCGTACTTCTCGGGTTTACTTGCGTACAAAAAAACTTAAAATGAGGGAAATGCGGGTTGGTTTCCTTGGTTGAAGGCTTTCGATTGCAAGGGTCATTAAGGTTGAGTGCACCTGTGCATTTAAAATGGAAGGTTTTAAAAATTTTAAAAAAATTTGATCTTTATTGTAGTGAATAAAATAAACGTGGTAAATTTTTAAACAGGGTTATTTTAACCCCCTTTGTTTAGTATATCAAATATCCACAAACCTTCCCTGGATATCCCCCGAGATATACCCGCCTCTGTGTTATCAGATATAAACATTCTTGGGTATATACAAGAGACAGACAACTCTTGGGTATTATACGAGTACACACCTTTTATTGTCTTTATTACTGGTGTTACTTACTTATGGGGGTTTGGTTAAAGCGCCCGTAGATTGACATAGGCAAGTTCATTTTAAGGCGAGGGCACGCCCCCCAGTCTTTTAAGTTGTATTTTTCAGGATTAAAGGGGTTTCCCCAAAACTATTTTTAGTGACATTCGCTAGTGCAAGTGGCATGCCCGTTTTGTTTTTATGGTGGTATTTGGCATGCCCCTTTATTCACCCTCCGAAGATTGCAAGGAAAAAAAAGCATTAGTTTCAACTCCTTTGGTAACTCAAATCAACAGATGTTAAAACAGCCTTTTTCCCGCCTATATTTTTTGTTTTAATCCTTTGCTGGAGGCGTTGTTGATGCTAGGAAAGTCTTTTTGTCTGGGGAATTTTAAATTTTTCCCCTTCTTCGTATCTAGGATGATTACCCCTACCCATCTTACGCACCAAGTGATTATTATTATTAATGTGTAATTGTTATTTTTAATAATTAAAAAATAATTAAAACCCGGGTGATTTATGAAGGATGGGTTAAAATAGTTTAAGGGAAAAAAAAGGGGAGTGGGGCTTGAGGTTATGTGGGGCAAAAAACGTTTTTATTGAGGGAAAGAAGGGAATGTATGAAAGTATAGTATACCAACATCTTATTGGGTGTGAAGCTTGGGTGGTAAATGCAGGAGCGAGGAGGCCTGTTGGAAGCAGTGGAGATGTCGTTAAGGGGGAATGTGTGGTGTAAATATTATGCAGAAAATTCGGAGTGTGGAAATTTGGAGGTGTGGAGTTAATTAAAAAATATTAGTCAGAGGGCTGAAGTGGGTATGCTGAGGTGGTTTGGTCATTTAGAGAGAATGGATCGAAGTAGAATGACATGGAGAGCGTATAAATCTGTAGGGGAAGGAAGGAGGGGTAGGGGTCGTCCTCGAAAAGGTTGGAAGGAAGGGGTAAGGGAGGTTTTGTGGGCGAGGGGCTTGGACTTCCAGCAGGTGTGCATGAGCGTGTTCGATGGGAGTGAATGGAGACGAATGGTATTTGGGACCTGACGATCTGTTGGAGTGTGAGCAGGGTAATATTTAGTGAAGGGATTCAGGGAAACCGGTTATGTTCATATAGTCGGACTTGAGTCCTGGAAATGGGAAGTACAATGCCTGCACTTTAAAGGAGGGGTTTGGGATATTTGCAGTTTGGAGGGATATGTTGTGTATCTTTATACGTATATGCTTCTAAACTGTTGTATTCTGAGCACCTCTGCAAAAACAGTGATTATGTGTGAGTGAGATGAAAGTGTTGAATGATGATGAAAGTATTTTTCTTTTCGGGGATTTTCTTACTTTTTGGGTCACCCTGCCTCGGTGGGAGACGGCCGACTTGTTTAAAAAAAAATAACCCTACTCTGATTTCATCTAAGACCTGTGACACATTCACTCCTTGGCACTCACCTTTTCCTGCGGGTGCCAGTCTAAGCAGTCAGTGAAGGCACGGCCTTTGAGCTGAGAGGTAGCTAGCTTGAGCGTGTTGACCAACAGCGGCTGCTCTAGGAACACCAGGTAGTTCTCCGTCATACCAAAGCTGTGGTAGTAGGAGTACGACGCCTTCCAGCTTGAACTGATCGCAGCCAGCGTGCGAGTGTTGGCCCAGGGGTTGGAGTCTGAGAGTGAGAGGGACGGGAAGGGAAGCTTTAGTTGGTTAATGGGAAGAGAGGAGGTGTTTAAAACCTTTCGGCTACACTATCCTTATAAGAATTAGACACATGTGCAACATCTGGGTATCTATTGTAGACGTTCCGCCATCCAGTAGCTTTATTAGTAAAACTTCAAAGATATGATGGGAAGAATGTAGAACTATACACAAAAGACGACGTAATTATTCCCTCAGACTTGGAGTTAGTAAAGAGCACCGTAGTCGTTGTGAAGAGCACCGTAGTCGTTGTGAAGAGCACCGTAGTCTTCAAGACTACGGTGCTCTTCACCAACTCCAAGTCTGAGGGAATAATTACCTCGTCTTTTGTATATAGTTCTACATTCTTTCCATCATGTCCTTGAATTTGTATTGATAAAGCCACTGGTTGGCGAAACGTCTACAAATAAAGATACCAAGATATTACACATACGTCTAATCCTTCAACTTGTCGGTATTGTATACCAGTCATGTAGGACTGTCACTGTAGCCTGGCAATGATAACCTCCAGTACCATCAAGAATACTCTAATTCCCATAATAGGGACTGAAATAAACTCTCAGCAGACGAGTATATACACTGAGAGCTACATGCCTCTCGTTGTATATACATCCTTGGGTAGACTCGATTGTTGACTATTTCATGAAGCACTAAACCCGTGTGGGTCACTGAAGGAGTGGTGGAAGCTCGTTCCTCCCTCCATCCAGCGCGAGAGGAAGACAAAAAATTATAATAGTCTTATATACTGATAAGAAAACGGCAATAATGTTTGTCGTGGACAGACAGACACGACGACGTTCAGTGATTCCTCTGCGAATTATGGCTCTTTTAACTACGGTATTATGGGATGTGAATTATTCTAGCTACGGTATTGTGGGATGTGAATTATTCCAGCTACGGTATTGTGGGATGTGAATTATTCCAACTACGGTATTGTGGGATGTGAATTATTCCAGCTACGGTATTGTGGGATGTGAATTTCCAATCGGTATGTGATGTGATTATTCAGCTACGGTATTGTGGGATGGAATTTCTGCTACGGTATGTGGGATGTAATTCGCTACGTATTGTGGATGTGAATTATCACTTACGGTATTGGGATGTGAATTTCAGCTACGTATTGTGATGGAATTATTCTAGCTACGGTATTGTGGGATGTGAATTATTCCAGCTACGGTATTTTTGGGAGTGAATTATCAGCTAGGTATTGTGGATGTGAATTATTCCAGCTACGGTATTGTGGGATGTGAATTATTCCAGCTACGGTATTGTGAGATGTGAATTATTCCAACTACGGTATTGTGGGATGTGAATTATTCCAGCTACGGTATTGTGGATGTGAATTATTCCAGCTACGGTATTGTGGGATGTGAAATTTGATGTGAATTAAATTCCAACTACGGTATTGTGGGATGTGAATTATTCCAACTACAGGAATCTACGTGGGATGTACACACATTTATTCTATCACTACGGATGTAATTGAATCCAACACGGAATGATTTAATTATTCCAGCTACGGATATTGTGTTTGGAATGTATCACAATGTATTTATCTACGGTATGTGGCATGTGAATTATTCCAACTACTGTATTTTTCCTTTTTATTATGGTAACGTTTTCGGTGGCGTAAAAGGAGACTGACAAGAATAATAGTCTTCAGTACCACACACACACACACACACACACACACACACACACACACACACACACACACACACACACACACACACACACACACACACAACACACAATACACACACACAAACATACACGTACCACTTTTGTCCTTGGAGGGATGTATCTTCACAATGTTGTACTTAGGACCGCCGATGAAGGAACAGCCCAGGTTGTACGTGACACCTGTGTTGTCCGTCAGTGGATGTGAAGAACACAGGTTCACACTCATTATCTTACTAAGATCAACCTGCCCATCACAACAATAATAATTAACAATAATAACAATAAAACAATAATAATAATAATAATAATAATAATAATAATAATAATAATAATAATAATAATAATAATAATAATAATAATAATAATAATAATAATAATAATATAATAAAATAATAATATAATAATAATAATAATAAATAATAATAATAATAATAATAATAATAATAATAATAATAATAATAATAATAATAATAATAATAATGAAATGAATGTGACAAATGTTTAAGTGAATGTTTAACAAAGTGGTACATGGTAAGAAGCAACAGTAATTTGCAATGTTCACTAAAAAAAAATACTTTGTTAAAAGTAGGTTCAAATTTAGTAATTTCGACAAGTTGAATTCGTTGAGAGGCTTCAAGAGGTTATATTCTTGAGTGTTCACTAGTCAGCTGGTTGCTATAACAAACTCTACGTTTTATTTCTCCATCAATGTTTTGCGTCTTACATCTGTTATTATGCCGTATCCCACTTTAATATTCAATATATATATATATATATATATATATATATATATATATATATATATATATATATATATATATATATATATATATATATATATATATATATATATATATATATATAGGTAAAATTGGTCACTTAGCAAGATCGTTTAAAATTTAGTCTCTAAAAAAAATTTTATACATTTAAAGATATATTTTTCATTTATTTTAATGTAATGGTTTTGTACCAAAAAAAATTAGAAAACTTACCTAGCCTTATTATAACAAGCGCAATTTAATTTATCCTAATCCAATTAAATATATTTTATATAAGTTTACAATAATTTAATAATAAACAAACACAATGCAATATATTTTTTCGTGATTTTCAGAATGATTTTTGCGAAATTATTGCATACACAAGTCTTTGTTTGCTTTATTCGGCAAGAAGAGCGTTGCTATTTAAGCCAAAATCGTAAGTTCTACCTATTCGGCACGATATATATATTTACACCACCCCTAGGATGTCACCACACTAGCACTAGCCTACTAGCCTACAGATACATATTTCCTCCAAGGTGTGTAGGAAAGAATGTTTAAATAGGCTTACATATACATCTCATTCTGCCTGGATAATGAAGCCAGGAAGTTTATATTGCGACCACTAATCTGTAACTACAAGTGTCTAACTATTGCTGTGTTCGCTGATCTACAACTATAAATATATAGCCTACCCAGCCTTGTTGTAAGGGTTTCACTGTCCCTAACCTGTCTAGAGCGCCACCTACCATGCTTGTTTCATCACGTACCCTGGCTGTGTCATCACGTACCCTGACTGAGATTACGTACGCTGTCTGTGTATCACGTACCTTGTCCTTGGTTTCGAGGTTATCGGGGTCAATCTTCCTCAGGTAGCAGGTCTCAGAAGCAACAAACATCTGATCCTCAATACGGAAGATGTTGTTAGAAGTGTTGTCCGTCATTTCCTGCAGGAAGATACACAATTCCGTTTATCATCACTAACAAAACTTTGAATTTGCTGCATGTTTACCTACGAAGTTGCTAGATAATTTATAATGCTCCCCGTACGCATATTGGGGACGACAGTAAGTAGTTTACTGTACATCCCGTACGCATAATGCGGACGACAATAGGTATTGTACTGTGCATCTCGTACTGTAGCGCAAGAGCATGTGCATACACACTGATTAGGAAATAATTAAAAGAATATAAAAAAAACACAAGTACGTATGAATTAGACAATATAATTATAGATACAATATCATCTGCTATGAGCAAATTCAAAATTCTTGAAGAAAGTTTTAATGTGTGATTTCTCACTAAGAGTATATCCAGTTATACCATATGAGATAGTATACTATCAAGAAAGTGACTTTAAGACAGACTATTTTACATACATAATAATAAATAGCAATCAAGAGCCTTGTCTTAGCGACACCTTTCGCAAAACTTTAGTTTGGTCTTCGTATGTACACTTTTGTCCCCGAAACACAAGACTGTAAAACACTGCAGAAGCAGCTTTTTTAAGGGTCTTTACTACATTTTACTCTGTACTCACTTCTTTGTGGTTGCAGGGGGTCGATTCACAGCTCATATGTAGAGCGTTATTAGAGCGAAATGTTTCCCAATAAAAGCTGGTTTAGCAACACGTGTTTTCTTCATCCTGCTCAGACCTGCAAGGCAGCGTAAGCTTGGCTGTAACAACATCCGTCAGTCTGTTTTCTGACGGATGTTGTGCTTATCAGGACTCATGTTATCAAAGTGAGTCAGGGAGCTGCTCTGACTCTCAGCTGCGTTCCTATTTAATGTTATAGTGAGTTACGGAGCTACTTTGGCTCCTACCTGCGTTCCTATTTAATGTTATAGTGAGTTACGGAGCTACTTTGGCTCCTACCTGCGTTCCTATTTAATGTTATAGTGAGTTACGGAGCTACTTTGGCTCCTACCTGCGTACCTATTTAATGTTATAGTGATTACGGAGCTACTTTGGCTCCTACCTGCGTTCCTATTTAAAGTTATAGTGAGTTACGGAGCTACTTTGGCTCCTACCTGCGTTCTATTTAATGTTATAGTGAGTTACGGAGCTACTTTGGCTCCTACCTGCGTTCCTATTTAATGTTATAGTGAGTTACGGAGCTACTTTGGCTCCTACCTGCGTTTCTATTTAATGTTATAGTGAGTTACGGAGCTACTTTGGCTCCTACCTGCGTTCCTATTTAATGTTATAGTGAGTTACGGAGCTACTTTGGCTCCTACCTGCGTTTCTATTTAATGTTATAGTGAGTTACGGAGCTACTTTGGCTCCTACCTGCGTTCCTATTTTATGTTATAGTGAGTTACGGAGCTACTTTGGCTCCTACCTGCGTTCCTATTTAATGTTATAGTGAGTTACGGAGCTACTTTGGCTCCTACCTGCGTTCCTATTTTATGTTATAGTGAGTTACGGAGCTACTTTGGCTATTAGCTATGTTCCTACGGCCATCTTCGTTATTTAAGTCACTTTTCACGACATTTCAGCACCTTCTTTCTCTGCGTATCATCATTATCAGTATCATAATAATTCGCAGTATGGTTATAATAGTTATAACTATCATCGTCAGTATCATCTCCCACAGTCATTATCACCATAATAACTATCATCATTACTATCCACATCAATATTCTCTTTACTATTCGCCAGCCATCATCATCATCCATCATTATCATCATCATCAATGGTGGCATCACAGTTATTAATAATTCATCTAAATAACTATCAACCTGATTATATCATAATCAACAACTAAATTGTAACTGTAATTGCGAGAGAGAGAGAGAGAGAGAGAGAAGAGAGAGAGAGAGAGAGCGAGAGATGAAAAGCTGGCCCACAGATGGCTCCAACTTCATCCTGTTCCCAACTTGTATGTCTCATAACAATAAAAATGCTTTCAAATGAGCTGATGTAGGTAACAGCTCTTAGCTTGCCAATAAAGTTAGGAATCCTTAACCTGTAAATAGCTTGTCAATAAAGCTAGGGATCCTTAACCTAACCTTGTCAAATCCTGTTTAAAAAAAGAGAATGAGAGAGGAGAGAGAGAGAGAGAAGAGAGAGAGAGAGAGAGAGAGAGAGAGAGAGAGAGTGACTGTCAGAACTGGTAGTACCCGGAGGTGTCGGTTTTTCCTTGGAGAGGGTGTGAGGGGGGCATGGAGGAGGGAGGGACGGAGGGACGGAGGGAGGGGGAAGAGGAAGGAGAGGAGGAGAAGGGGGAGGGAGGAAACAGGCTACCTGAAGGACATTCACTTGGGTTAACGCTCCAGGCTGCCCGGTACCAGACCAGGCCTCCTGGAACATCAAGGCCTGATCAACCAGGCTGTTACTGTTGACCGCACGCGGTCCGACATCATTTCTCTTAAGTCTCGCACATGAGGCCTTTTGCTCTTTTGAATGATTTAAGTTCGCCCTGCACTCCGTTAGTCTATATTTCTTCCATTCTTCCGTCGTGAAGCAATTGAAACGTGTCCTGGATAAACATCACATAGTTGTATGAGGCTCACTGGAAGATTTGATTTGTATATGCCTGAAGATCTGCTGTCTTCGATAGATGTCACCCTCACAGACATTCTGATGTCATCAGTGCTATGGTTTATGTCAATGTCGGATATGAGAATGGGAAACAGAATTGGGGTGAGTACGTGCCTTGAGCAACAAACTTATCACTGTACACTAAGTCAGCATTTAAATTGTCTTCAAGAACATCCAGGACAGCATCGTAATGATCTAGCCGTTGTGAAAAACAGTAACAGCCTGCCTTCCACCATGCTGCCCTGGATTGTGCAACTGTTGTGATACCATGTGACTGGCAATCTTGTTTCTTAGGACTCGTTCAAAAATTTTGATAATGTGTGAAGTTAGGAGGGCTACTTGCATATACCTTTTTAAAGCAATTGCTTTACTGCCTTCTTTTAAAGTGGGGCAATATCAGCGGTTTTCACTGGCTGTGGCATGACATCTATGACCAGGCTCCTTCTCCATAAAATACTGAAGACAAGAGATAGAGGTTTCCTAAACTTTTTGATAAGTAAAAAATTCCATGGAGCAAAATGCAGCTACATGATATCGATGGCCTCTTTCGAACTCACTGGGGAGAGAGCTACATAGGAAATTGTAGAAATGTTGGCAATGTTCTGAGTCTCATTCTTGAAAAACTCTCTTGGGGTCTTTGATGTGCAGACTGATGACAGGTTCACTGAATACAGAGTCATATTGCGACTTCGCATTTTACTATTACCATCAGTGGCTTTCGCTCTGAATTCTGCAAAGGAGAAGAAGTATCTGGAATTTCTCCTAATTTCATTTCTATATGATGCAATCAGTTCGTGCTCAATGTTCTACAAATTCTTTAACCAGAGTTTCCCTTCAGGTTTTAGAGATTTAGCTGCCTTTGAGATTTATATTCGTCTTTACCTGTAATGGGAGCGCGCCTCTCTCTCTCTCTCTCTCTCTCTCTCTCTCTCTCTCTCTCTCTCTCTCTCTCTCTCTCTCTCTCTCCGTCTCTCTCCGTCTCTCTCTCTAGTTTGCATCTCCTTCGCCAGACAGGTACGTGTCTAGAGCATACTTCGAGCACCAAACAGCTCATACTTCCAAGGACATGATTGTAGATCTTGCGTGGTCAGGTCATCATCGCAGCGTATCTCGCTAAGTTCAAGATTTATTTGATCTCAGTTGATATTGATCTTATTGAAGCTGAATCTGTTAAAACACCCTCAAGACTGATCGTGTGTCTGTGTCCCAGGGCCACTGTACACGCAGTTCTGTACCTCGACTATGTTGTCTGATTACTGCATGCAGTATCAGGTCTTCACTGTTCGTAATTATTAGGTCCAGGGTGTGTCCCAGTCTGGTCGAGTCAGTAAGCTACTGACTTAAGGTGAATTTATTGCAGAGGTTTAATAATTCTGTTGTGTGGAGCAGTTCCTCCGAGTTAATTTTAGGGACTAAGAGGGTCTAACAGAAGCAACGCAACATGAAAGAGCCAGAATTATAAGTACAATACTTATAATATAGGAAGTAACCTACATGTAACGTAGAGAATCATAGGTTATGTGTGTGTGTGTGTGTGTGTGTGTGTGTGTGTGTGTGTGTGTGTGTGTGTGTGTGTGTGTGTGTGTGTGTGTGTGTGTGTGTGTGTGTGTGTGCGCGCGGCTGGTGCAATGTGGCCTCGGGGCCGCAAAAGAGGTTTTTTTGTGTTATGGCGGAGAAAAACTCGCTCATGAAACTACGCAGAAACTGAATTTTTCCCCTAAAGAACACAAAGAAATACAGTCATTTGTGTGCACCAGAGAAACAGTCGAGCAGGCACACTCGGTCAGCGACACTCAGAAACATACATATTCAGAATGAGATACACCAGAGACTGTTTCTCTGGTGCACACAAATGACTGTGTATTTCTTTGTGTTCTTTAGGGGAAAAACTCAGTTTCTGCGTAGTTTCATGAGCGAGTTTTTCCCCGCCATAACACAAAAAAAATCTCTTTCGCGGCCCCGAGGCCACAATGCACCAGGCGCGCCACTGTGCTGTATACACCTCCCCCCTCCCCCGTTCCTGTACCTACCTGGCAATCAGCCTTATCCAGGGCATATTTATCACTTCTACAGTACTTCTATATCTACTTGTGTCGCTTGTGTCACCCGTCTACACGACTTCCATCATTACCTGTGTTACTTGTGTCACCTCCATCACCGTCTACACGACTTCCATCACTAGTTGTGTTGCTTGTGTCACCTATAGCGGTCACCTGGAATCTTTTGCCTCATTTTTATCGTTTAATTGCAAAATGCTCTCCACCAGGATACGGTGAGTTGCGGATTTTTTCCCCCTTGGCTAAGTGCAGGCCAACAAGATTGCGAAGGATCATGCAACTAAGCCGGCTCACAAGTCATGTTATGACTCAAGAAATCGTAATGACACGATTGCAAACAAACCATACCCCCGGCCGGGATTGAATCCCGCGGTCATAGAGTCTCAAAACTCCAGCCCGTCGCGTTAGCCACTAGACCAGCTAGCCACAATAAGATTCATCCAACTAGGTATATTTCTACACCATAGGAAGGTTAGCGCAGGCACCACTGTGACCACAAATGCAAGTTTTTACAGACGAATCTCCAGCTAGCGTGGCCGTGACGAACTCTAGCTCAAGTCCCTTCACTGCCGTCAACTATAGTGTAGAAATATACCTAGTTGGATGAATCTTATTGTGGCTAGCTGGTCTAGTGGCTAACGCGACGGGCTGGAGTTTTGAGACTATGACCGCGGGTTCAATCCCGACCGGGGGTATGGTAAGTCATGTTATATAATACTATAATTTTTTCAGTCCAGGATTGGTTGTAATGGTGGCATTTTTAGAAATGTGAGAGCTATTCCTGATCTCCAAGTAATTGTTGAAAATCTCAAGCCTTCGAATTTTCCAGCAGGCGAGGCTTTGTCTACCATTATGTTCGTGGCAGATGTGTCACAGAGCACCTGGAGTATAGGAGACGAGCATGATCCATGGAAGGGGATAGAGGTTCCAGACTCAAGGCCCTCCCTTGAAGGGGGATAGTGGTTCCTGACTCAAGGCCCTCCCTTGAAGGGGGATAGTGGCTCCTGACTCAAGGCCCTCCCTTGAAGGGGGATAGTGGCTCCTGACTCAAGGCCCTCCCTTGAAGGGGATAGTGGCTCCTGACTCAAGGCCCTCCCTTGAAGGGGATAGTGGCTCCAGACTCAAGGCCCTCCCTTGAAGGGGGATAGTGGCTCCTGACTCAAGGCCCTCCCTTGAAGGGGATAGTGGCTCCAGACTCAAGGCCCTCCCTTGAAGGGATTCATTATCTAGGTCTTCCATTCAGTGACACTTAGTCTTCCTCTTTCAGTACTTCATAATTAGTCCAGACCTTCCAGTACACTTCAGTCTCAGCTCTGATCCTCCAAAATATGTGAGCTATCTTTTAAATTGTTCACTCTGTGCTGTACTCAGGTTCTTTCAGCAGCAGTTGAGCTTCAGTTAATGCTTCCAGCCATATTATAAATTGAATTAATATATGTCAGTACGTTGATAATAGATTTCAGTACCTTGATAATATATGTCACTACCCTTGATAATATATGTCACTACCTTGATAATATATGTCACTACCTTGATAATATATGTCACTACCTTGATAATATATGTAAGTACCTTAAAAATTTCTTTGTACCTTCAATGCGCATAATTCTTTTAATTTACAGTAAACTTAAATTAGGATTCTAATTTTAATTCAGTTCACAAAACATAATCTAAATTTTGCACCACTGCATTCTTACATTTTGGGATCCCCGGTGTCATTAAGCTATTTTTCCCAGAAGCTCCAGAATACCAAACTCTCTCTAGATGCAGGGAGCCAGAACCGCCCTTCACTCCTTCAGATCAGACCTAATAATCTCCTATTCCCAAGGCGTTGTGGATGACTTTTAAAAGCTCAGCACTTCCTCGTGCATGTCGTCATGGTCAAGGCTCTGATGGTCCGTGTTTCCGTGGCTTGCAGTGCGCTGTAAGTGGCGTGGGAAACACAGACGTCGCGGCAGACTACTACACAAGCGTTTTCCATTATTATTCAAACATTTGTTACATTTTCCTGTCCAGCAACGTACATGGAGTTCCCTAAACGCTGACGAGTGAGAACTTAACCGCGACTTAACCACTTTACGTATTTCAGTGTGGACGTATCGATCCGGTCAACGCCGTTTACCACCACGTTGGAGGATACGATGCCAAAAAATATGATAACATGGATATCCGGAGAACAAAAAGAAAATTGTAAAAAAAAGTCGCAGAACAATTTTAATCAAAAAACAAGAAGGACCCTGTAACACTTGCAAATAATCAATGATATTTATGTCATTATAGCAATTGCAAGACCCATGAACTTACACAATACACAAATAACCTGCACATGGAAGAGAGGAGCTTACGACGACGTGTCTTCAACACCATTAACACCCTATAATCCTCCCGCCTCCCTTCACTCTTTTAATTTCATTTGGGATGGAATATCCAGAGAGATGGTCAGTTTACGCAAGTCATATCCAGCGCTCCTAGAGTGAAACTTCTGAAGCTCTCGTCACTATTGAACTCAAGAGTGGAGAGCTTGAGGATATCCTTGTTAGCTTATTATCGGAAATTTCCCGTCTCATGCTGACATATTTCGCTACTAATAATGGTAGAATTACCGACAATATGTCAAGTAAAAGGACATATGTGCAGCTAATGTGACATTTAAATGTCACATTAGTTGCACATGTGTACTTTTACCTAAAATATTTCATTACTTCACACATGTAACCCATCTTGTGCTATGGAGTATAGTAGAAAAACTTAACTATCATATAGAAGGAAACAGCAGCACACTGCACGTGTTCCAGTGTTTAATATACATAATGCAGGAATTTTTCAATTTCTTACGAATTGGGAGAACATCCTGGAGAAGATGTTCTTGCAGGGGTCAGGGTAGCTTTGTGTTCCAAACTCCGTGAAGACAGGGCGCTGAGTGAGGCAAGCTTTCTTGTAGGCGTCTGACTTCAAGTACTTGGACTGGAACGACACCTGAAAAACACAAAGTAATTAATACACCACGAAAAGATGAACTGAAGCAGGGCACTGCGATCCTATTGCTATTGACTTGAACGAAGCATCACCTTAACACCCCCGTCAGGAACTATTTTGTCTTTGCGAATAAAATACCATCACATCCAGGGATAGCCAGATAGCCACTCTGGATGGAGACGATAACGATTCATGCTTGGAATCAACTGGAAGTCGATGTGTGCACTACTGTTACCTGGAGGTTACCTGGAGGTTATTCCGGGGATCAACGCCTCCGCGGCCCGGTCCATGACCAGGCCTCCCGATGGATCAGGGCCTGATCAACTAGGCTGTTACTGCTGTTACTACTGTAGTCATAGCTGCTGGAGCGGAAAGTGGGTTATGAAGAGATATTCATTTTCATTTGTTTATTTTATGGGAAATGTCATATCCGAGTGGGTTATTCAGTGCCAGGACCTGTGGAGGCTCGATCCTCTTTCTGTTAATCGTGAGACGGATGAGACGGATGGGAATTTATGAATTCTGAAAGATTTACTACCAAAGGAATTTTAGGAACTTACTATAGAGAATTATTATATATTGTTAAATTGTTACAGAACTTAATGAAGTGGTCATTGTTTTTGTATATAATGCGCGTCGTACTGCATGATTAAGACATGCAAATGTACATTGAATCATGCGACTGACTATACGTATGGTGCGAACCTTTTCTGAATGCACCAGACATATACGTTCTGGAGCGTACATGTAAATGATCACAGGCATGCACGCGCGTGCGCGCACACACACACACACACACACACACGCACACACACACACACACACACACATACACACACACACACACACACACACACACACACACACACACTGAAAAAATAAAAAGCTGAGTCATGATGACTGGGTGTGGAAACAGGTATCGCCTGAGAGGAAAACAGCTTCAAGACCTGGAACAAAGACCAAAGACCGCACCACAAAATTAAGCATACTCATCCCACAACCAAATATACCACCACCACCACACACACTACCACACACACACGCACACACACACACACACACACACACACACACACACACACACACACACACACACACACACACACACACACATACACACACACAGCAATAAAGGAATGGAATAGACTACCCACACATGTCAAAGCCAGTCAAAGCATGAACCAGTTCATGAAGAGTGCCAAAAGGTGTCTGATGAATGTAGCTACAGAAAGGGAGGCTGTGTAACCAGAAATGGCATAGACATCTGTAGTATCAGGCTTTAGCCAGGTTTCAGTTAGTGTAATGATGGACATATTGGCATGCAAGGAATTTAGTAATGCTATGAGGTCATCGTAATGTTTGCTTAAAGATCTGATATTGTAGTTAAAGATAGTTATATTGTTGTTGGCTCTGAGAAGTGCCTTTGATTGTTCTGCTGTGTAGTAATTACAGTTACTGTTTGATTGATTTAAGTCATTCAATAAGAGGTTGGTATCAGGATCAATGCTTGTAATCATAAGATTTATAGTGAATCTATAGTCAGAATTAAGTATAAGACAAAGTAAATATTCTAAAGCTAAAAAATAGCACCTGAATTATTTTAACAAATGTAAAAATATGAGCTAAGGCAGTTCTTTAAAGCTAAAATAAAGGAGACTATATAAAAGGGACTAAACTAATTTGTGGTGAACAAATAAAGTGATGATCAAATAAAGGAGCTTGGGAATATAATAGTTGGTAGTTCTTTAAAGTTAAAATAAAGGAGACAATATAAAAGGGACTAATATAAGTTGTGGTGAACAAATAAAGTGGTAATCAAATAAATGAGCTTGGGAATATAATGGCAAAATTGTGAACTTATTACACTTTAGCACCTGAGAATAGCACCTTGATTATTTTAACATTTGTGAATATATGAACTGAGGTAGTTATGTAAAGCTAAAATAAAGGAGAAAATATATAAGGGACTAAATTAAGTAATGGTAAACAAAGTTCAATGGACAGATAGTCACTATGATATAATATTGATTTGGGAGTAAGATCTGATTTGTAATGTATAATAAGTTGAGCAATTAATTGCACTATAAAAAGTAAAATAATATGAGGTAGTTGGTACTAGCTAGCAAAAGATAGTTTTGGGACTCACACAATAATGTAATTGGAATATACACTAATTGCACACACAATAAAAGGGACTAAAAGAAGTAGTGGTAAACAGAATTAAATGGATAGGTAGCAACCATGAATAATATTAATTTGGAGTAAAATTTGACTTGCAACACAAAATTATGAGCAATTAATAGCAATTAAAAAGTAAAAAGTATTTGAGGTAGCTGGTATTAGCTAGTAAAAGAAAAATAATAATAATGCACAATAATGTAATAGTAACGTACATTATATGCACCACACATATATATGTGTTAAGGACACTTATCTAGTCTGTTACAGAAATGTCAGCTTTTCTAAGGAAGGTAGAGAAATCATGTTCATTTGAGATGGTATATTGTTGTCCTGTTGATGTTTTCCTTACTAGTATTTTCCCATCTCGAGTGAAACACTGATGTATTTTGTTTTCCTGTTTAAGTTTTCTCAACCTGAACAGAAGGTTTTGACGTTTTCTCATTAGACACTCGATGAACACTCCATTTTTCATTGTAATTGCTGATTTAATTAAGTCCTTTCTTTTATCATATGAATGAAGTCTGATCATAATACTGTGTTTTCTACCTTGTTTTCCTAGCAAACATGTTTCTTTGATTTCATTGTTTTGCACGATAACTTTTACGTGGTCCTGTATTATCCTGATAACAGTTTCTTAGCACTGTTCTTGGGTTATGTCACTAGGAATGTGAGGGCTGTTTATTATAACTGCATCAGACAACTTATCTTGTTCAGTTTTGTCTTGGAAATCAAGGCATTCAAGGTGCTCATTCTGAACGCTAATATGGATTCGACAGACAAGACGCCACGTCGTGTATTTGCAAAAGAGACAAACATAAAAATTGTAATTTTTGGAGTATGAGAGAGAGAGAGAGAGAGAGAGAGAGAGAGAGAGAGACAGACAGACAGACAGACAGACAGACAGACAGAGAGACACAGACACAGACACACACACACACACACACACACACACACACACACACACACAAACCCTCACATAAAAGAGAGAAGCTTGCGACGACGTTTCGGTCCGACTTGGACCATTGACAAAGTCACTTTGTCAATGGTCCAAGTCGGGCCGAAACGTCGTCGTAAGCTTCTCTCTTTTATGTGCGGGTTATTTGTGTAGTGTTCCAGTCTCGGTATTGTGCCTTTTTTGTTATTTATGAGAGAGAGAGAGAGAGAGAGAGAGAGACAGACAGACAGACAGACAGACACAACACACAACACACAAAACACACACACACACACACACACACACACACACACACACACACACACACACACACACACACACACACACACACACAGCCTAGTGTCTAATCGACATGTGCCTAGTACAAAATGGTAACTAACACTCACCTTGCCATCTTCAATCTGGAACTTGTGAAGGATGGCCATGCCGTCAAGCCAGTGGTTGACAGTGAAGTCTCCCAGGTCATACTTGCCAGGTCCCACCCTCAGGAAGCTGCCACTCAGCCAGTCAGGCCACTCTCCTGGACAACACAACACAACCATTAGTTTTGTTTTCACTCAGATGTAAAGTCAGAGTTCAAATGTACGTTTCGGTCCAGGAAGGACCGAAACATCATCCTAAATTTCTTTCTCAACATTACGATTATTATATTTTATTCCTCTCAAGAGCGATTCCTTGACGCTGGTGAAGGGCTCTTGATCCATGGAATTGGTGCTACCGCCCGTTCCTCGATCTCCCATTCCCCAGGAGCTATGTGACCTTAGGGTTTAGCTCTCCCCATGAATATTTTAGTAGAAATAGTATATTAAGGGTAATCAAGGCGGTTATGTTCCTTCATTGTGTTATAATCTAGTGTCATGTCAGCTGGTGTCATACCTGGTGTCACATTATCTTGTGTCACATCATCTAGTGTCACATCGTTTCACACCAACTAGTGTCATACCATCTAGTGTCACACCTTCTAGTGTCACATCATCTAGTGTCACATCATCTAGTGTCACACCATCTAGTGTCACACCATCTAGTGTCACATCATCTAGTGTCACATCATCTAGTGCCACACCATCTAGTGTCACATCATCTAGTGTCACATCGTTTCACACCATCTAGTGTCACATCATCTAGTGTCACATCATCTATGTCACATCATCTAGTGTCATCACCATCTAGTGTCACATCGTTTAGTGTCACATGATCTAGTTTCACATCATCTAGTGTCACACCATCTAGTGTCACATCATCTAGTGTCACATCATCTAGTGTCACATCATCTAGTGCCACACCATCTAGTGTCACACCATCTAGTGTCACATCAAGTGTCACATCATCTAGTGTCACATCATCTAGTGTAACACCATCTAGTGTCACATCAAGTGTCACATCATCTAGTGTCACATCATCTAGTGTCACATCATCTAGTGTCACACCATCTAGTGTCACATCATCTAGTGTCACATCATCTAGTGTCACATCACCTAGTGTCACATCATCTAGTGTACATCTATGTCACATCTTAGTGTCACAATCTAGTGTCACATCATCTAGTGTCACATCATCTAGTGTCACATCATCTAGTGTCACATCTAGTGTCACATCATCTAGTGTCACATCATCTAGTGTCACATCATCTAGTGTCACATCTAGTGTCACATCATCTAGTGTCACATCTAGTGTCACATCATCTAGTGTCACATCTAGTGTCACATCATCTAGTGTCACATCATCTAGTGCAATATTCACATCATCTAGTGTCACATCTAGTGTCACATCATCTAGTGTCACATCTAGTGTCACATCATCTAGTGTCACATCTAGTGTCACATCATCTAGTGTCACATCTAGTGTCACATCATCTAGTGTCACATCATCTAGTGTCACATCATCTAGTGTCACACATCTAGTGTCACATCATCTAGTGTCACATCTAGTGTCACATCATCTAGTGTCACATCTAGTGTCACATCATCTAGTGTCACATCTAGTGTCACATCATCTAGTGTCACATCTAGTGTCACATCATCTAGTGTCACATCTAGTGTCACATCTAGTGTCACATCTAGTGTCACATCATCTAGTGTCACATCTAGTGTCACATCTAGTGTCACATCTAGTGTCACATCTAGTGTCACATCATCTAGTGTCACATCTAGTGTCACATCTAGTGTCACATCTAGTGTCACATCTAGTGTCACATCTAGTGTCACATCATCTAGTGTCACATCATCTAGTGTCACATCTAGTGTCACATCATCTAGTGTCACATCTAGTGTCACATCATCTAGTGTCACATCTAGTGTCACATCTATGTCATCTAGGTATGTGTACATCTAGTGTCACATCATCTAGTGTACATCATCTAGTGTCACATCATCTAGTGTCACATCTATGTCACATCTCTAGTGTCACATCATCTAGTGTCACATCTAGTGTCACATTTCAATCTAGTGTCACATCATTCTAGTGTCACATCATCAGTGTCACATCTAGTGTACACATCTAGTATCACAAGTGTCGTACATAGTGTCAAATCTGTGTACTAACATCTAGTTCCTCTAGGGTCATCATCTAGTGATTAGTGGTAAATCACTGTTGTACTGAGGTTCACATATGTAATTAGCATCTTATGCACATAGGCAAACTGTGTTAATTACACTATTTAATTATAGTGTAAAATTCTAAGTTTCAATCAGTCGACGATGCAGTTCTCCCGTGTTCACATTACAAATGGCGCATGAGAATATACAAAACTCTGTGAAAATACCGTGAGGTATCCCTACTGGGTCATAAGTCGTGTGTATATAGTGGAGGTATAAATACGCTCATGTGTGTTCACTGAGGAGTTTAATTTAGTGACAGGTTAAGAGACTCCATCTTAATGACATTCATCCAATAGAAGCTGTTTGTGAATTGATATAGGATTCAAGTTTCATCGTACGTGGTGTTTAATATATTTAACAAAGAGCGATGGATTAAGTGCAAACCGTTGATAAGAACGTCAGAGTACTTACCTGTGGTCTAATGTTAATACTCAGTGCGGATAGACTATATTTGTCATGAAGTAATATTCCATAGAATCTTCTTGACCCAGATAGCTGGTGTTATATTTATTCTAGACAGGATCGAGTTTCCTGTCAGTGACAGGAGAAGGATAGTTTCAAAAAGCTACTTTACCAGGAGTGATTATGGTGTTATAGCGCCTGAGTGAGTCAGGAATATTAATTAAGTAGTAGCGAAGGTCAGACGAGAGATAATGATCGTATATGTCGGCCAGTGTGCTTCCTCCTTCATTAAGTGTTGAGTGATGCTCTTGTATTATTTCGATTGCATCATCAGTGTGTGTGTGTGTGTGTGTGTGTGTGTGTGTGTGTGTGTGTGTGTGTGTGTGTGTGTGTGTGTGTGTGTGTGTGTGTGTCCTCCACCTGAACGATGGCTACAGTCGCCTTCCACCACTCAGAGTTAATTACAAAAGGGCGTCAAGTAGAGTTTCCTTAACAAGAAGCTTCACTTACCGTCTTTTCAATTTGACTCCTCACATCTCAGTCTTAGCTGATCTTAGACTTCATGGTTTCTCAGTGCCACATGTTTACCACTCATTCCTTGCCTCGTCTTCCTCCCCACGGCACGTTAACGAGTCGCCTTACGCTGCAGTGACTACCATTTATAGTCTCAGTTTCTAAAGGCTTTTCCATCCCGACTGATGACGTCAGTGTAATGTTGTCCTGCTAAATCCTGCAACATTTACAGCCAATTCCTAAATCTTCATAAATGGGAATGGGTGGATGTGAGTGAGATGAAATGAGACGACACTTCGGTTCTTCCGAAACCATTATCATTCAGAACTTGAGAAACTGTCCAGAACGGAGCGATACGTCGTCTAGATTTCATTTCCAATCAGCGGACACGGTATTGTGATTTTTCTTCAAAATAGAAGGTGGGGATGGAGGCAGCCATTAATACAGATAGAATATGACTCCTTTCACTCTTGTTTCCGCCACAACCACTCTCACATCTCTCCACTGCCTCCGTCCTCCCATGGAAATGTGGGTGGGAGTGTGGCACCGGTGCCAGGTACCACCTGGAGTCCTCGTCGCCAGGCACCACCTGGAACCCTCCTCTCCAGGTGAAACAACCAGGTTATACACCCCGAGGTGTATATCTCTCAATATTTAAAACTTTAATCCCTATTATCGGAATTAAAGTATTCTTGATTGGTGGTAAACAGGTTAAGTGCAGCGTTTCATAGATCCTGTGTGTATAGTCAACAGGCTTTACACACAGTTAAGTAGCCATGTGAAACAAGCCTCTTTCTGTTCACTGACAATTATTACATCTGATTATATGATGTGTAAAGTACCAACGCGACGGTAGACACATAAGTTATGCAGAACAACCATGTGAAAAAATGGTGAAATTCCAAGCGCTTTCTTGAGTTCTCGCATTATCAAGGATCTGGATAATGTGAGAAATCACGAAATCGCTTGGAATTTCACTATTTTTTTCGCAGTGGTTGCTTTGCATATTGTGATATCACCTGTTTACTGTGATCTTATTGCTACACATGAAGTTATATGGAAGCCTGACTGACAATAAGTCACATTTTTTACTTTATTGGGTTATCCTCCGTTAAATCTACATACAGTACTGTACATTTTAGGTTTCCATAATATCTGCCCCCCCCCTCATGATCACTGCAAAGCTTTTTTGCATATTGTGGAGTCAAATTAAAAATAGATTTACTTGCGAGTTTTCGCCCACGCTGTTGATTTTAATAAGTTACAAACAGAGCTGACTGTGACTTGATAATGAACACTGCTGGGCTGTTCTGCTCTAGATTCCCCGGTATAATCGACCGGCCCGGGCCTTTTCCAAGAGGTGGCTCTACCTTGGCTCCCTGTCGTAGGAGGAGGTACAAGTACCTCCTCGACTTCTGGGACCAGCTGTCCCCAGGCATAGCCCCATTCCCCGCCCCCACGGGGCTCGGAGGGAGAAGCTAGGCACCTTGAGCTGCCACAAACCCCGCCCACACTGGGCTCGAAGGGTGTGGCAGCTGCATAGCAGCAGACGATGTCAGGAGGTGCAAAGGCAGCAAGCACTACAGGATCCTTTTGAAGCAACACCCCAGCCTTGGACCGATGCCCGAGGGCTGGGGAAGCTCAAGAATGCCTCTTGTTGTGTGCGTTGTTGCTGCTAAAATTCGCTTGTCCGTTGCACTCTCCTCTGATGACTACATGGGCGAAACATTCATACAAGTGCACAGGTGGCGCGCGAGCTCCCAGACAGTTGAAAGAAGCTGGTATTTAGCAACCTTCACCCTGACCTGATTAAGAGTAGTCAGGTACCATAGTCACATCCGCCTGATGCAATCTTCTGCCAACTTCCGTTTCCTTTCTTCTCTAGTCTGGTTTAGCCCCATTTTGAGAATTTCGTACCATTCAAGAGAGTGCCTTGATGCTGATCAAGGGATTTTGATCCAAAGAATTAGAGCTACCCTTCCCTTCTTTGAATTCAGGTTTAATCCCA